CAGGACTGCCTGATGCTTTGATACTTCCATTACATATTATACTTTATATATATGCTTAAATATAAGACTGCTTTAATTGGATGAATAGAGAAATAAATCTTAGTGTTTTAGAGAAAATCTTGTACTTTACAAAGCACATAGCCAATGTGGGTGTAGTTTGTGTTTTCCTGGGTCCTTGCAGAGAGAGCCCCCATTGAATGCCTAGGAGAAGGGTTTTCTGTGGAAATGCTGGACTCTGTGTGGTCACTTGTGTCGACCCACGTTGAGAAACTGGGATGCACAGTGAATATTCTGAGTGTGTGTTCGTGTGTTTTACTTACATGTATAAAATGTCTGAAGAATGACCACCTCCATATAAAATATGTGCTTGTGTTTAAAAAAAAATTATTAAGTGATCAATATAGATATAACCTGCCTTTTCCTTCCCTTCTCTGTTATATATTAGGACCCAAAGTGATCCAGACTTCTGCAGCAAATTTTTCACTAAGTAATAGCAAAAAGGTAAGACTGGGCCTGAGTGGCAGCTGGGGGACATCACAGACTTTCAGATCACTGGGAAATGGTCCTGTTTCAAGGCTGCCTTTATTTTATTTATTTTTTTTGGAGAGGTTTTTGCTATAGGGCATGTGCGCTCGCCAGACAGACTAAGAGAGACAGAGAGACAGAAAGTGAGAAATCACCCCCCCGCCCCAAGGATGGTCACGCCGCAATCCCTCCTCCTCCATTCTCCTCTTGGGATCTTGGGCACGCACGCACACGTGCCCGGCATGAGTTTTAAGCCACCGGGTCTGGGACACGAACTGCGGTCGACTACGTGGGAGTCCCGGGATGCGAACAGCGATCAACTCTGTGGGAGTCCAGCGACATAGCTATTACGCTAACTGCTGGTCCCGATAGGCTGCCTTTAAAAGCAATGAAAATAGTTATGGATGCTGAAGACAGTGTGGAATGTGGGGTGAAAGGAGAGAAGAAGGGAAGAGTATAGAGAAGGATTGCATGAGAACAACTAGAGAGGCATGACATTAGTGGGACACAGAAATGGTTTATTACCTGTTGATGATAACATGTATAGTATTCTCAACTGGACTGGTCTCAGAAGTATTTCATGTTAGGTAAATTTTCTTTACGAGCCAAGTGATGTATAGCGATTGAATGTTTAAAGAAATAATGATGAGAATAAATAGTAATATAATAATAATCTGGGGCTGAGGCTGGCAGGTGTCCTGGTAGTTGAGGGCACTGGACTCCCACATGGTGGGCCATGGTTCGAGTCCCGGGCCTGGGTGCTTGCTTTGTCGCTTTCTTCGCTGAACTTTTCC